TGCAAGGCTAGCATTTGCATCTGCGCATTGCCAAACCAAAAGTGTTGGCCTTCGGCTTCCGTTCGCCGAACAGCGGGCACTCGATTGCCGCGTTCCGGCGGAAGGCCGAAGTAGGGCACAGGCTGATGCCTCGGCGCGAGCAGGGGGAATGGGGTGCGAGCAATGTATGCGTTGTGTTGAATCTCCATGGTGTTGTTTGTATTTGCATTGTTGGCTAGACATGGACCAGACTCAACATGTTTTTACATATTATATATATATTAATATACACATATGTATAGATGTGTGGTTTGGGGCAAAAGCTGGGGGTAGCTTTGGCCATACACACCGCCAGTTTGGGGAGATGTGAGGGGACACGTGAACCCTGCCTATTCCCCCTGCGAGAGGGGTGGGGCGGGCAGTGCCCGGAGTATCTTGGAGGTGTCCGGCTTTTGAACGGGCTGAGTAGAATTGATGTCTCAGCTGAACAAGTGTCACAAGCATTGTCCTAAGTTCGTAAACGAAAACTGCCTGACTCCCCTGCCATTGAAGATGGAACGAACATGGAACCCAAAACGGGTGGTCGAAAGGGAGATTGCTCTAAACAAGATGCTGGTTTGGGGGTCAAGTTAATGTGCAGGAGTACATTGGAAGAAGAACGTTGGCCGGCAGAAAGTGTAGGTTCAGTTTGGGAAGTATAGCAGTTTCCCCATGTGCATGCCCAAGTCACGCCGTTCCTCGGGAGGATGTGGGGCTGGTCATCAACCTTTTCGACTGCTCTTTATGAGGATTCCTTCTAAGAAAACCGTGACAATCTATCAATTATGTCATTGATGGTACCCACAGCTGAGGGACGTTTATGGTTGAATGACGGCTTACCAAAGCCTATCACTTTTGAGGGGAAGGCACGTTCTCAAGACCAGGGTTTGTACTTGTTGTACAAAGTCGCAAGTTGATTATGACCATGGCTCGTGGTTAGCTTACTTGGCCCTTTCAGGGAATCGGCGCTTTCCACTAGAATACTGGTTGCTGGGGCAACTCTGACTCATTTAGGGGCAACCAGCAGCAAACTCGGATAGGTGTTGGCGGAAGCTCAAATGACGAATGTTTGCTCAATGTGAAAGGCAGCTGACAACAGGTATGCTTTGATGAATTGGGCCATAACCCCTTCCCTATTACTTGTTTCTCGTGCAGCCCAGTCGCTGTTGGCACCTGGCGATGGCTCTTTTTCGCCTGTGATGGGCAATGAAAATGTACAGCGCCAGTGCTGTTGGTCAGGAAATGGATACCATGCCGCAGGAAAGACTGTGGTAACCTCATGGGAAGTCAGGACTAGTCTCTTGAGAGAGTGTCCCATGCTCGCAGGAATCCTTCACCCGCTAGTCATCCACAGGGGTTTTGAAATCCGGGGTTTCCTGCATGTTCCTTTTTGATCAGCATACTAACAGGTATATGTATCTATGCAGCAGGGTTTGCAATGTTTAAATGGACGCCGAGAGGACACCAACCTGCTCTAGAGGTCCTATGTTTGCCAACCACCTGTCTTGAAATCTGCGGTCTTGCTCATCCGAATTGCACATCTGTTTTCTGCGAGCCCAACATCAATTGGTCCAGACTCCAAAAAGTTGTTTGTTTTGGAAATCACATGTTTTGTTCATCTGCGTGACTGGATTTGGTAAACGGAAATGGGTCTGCAAAGGCACAAACTCCAGAAACAAGCCGCGCACATTTGCTCACGGACCCCTGGTCTAATGGCTGGAATTGTCAGCAATACACTGCTCAATTATGTGGTCCCCAATGTTGACTGGTACCCTTTGTTAAGAGCAACGACATCTTTTCCATGCGGCCCGGTTAGACCAGAGGCAAACACGCGGAGTTTAGAGGCTTGACAAAAAGCAAGGCACGGTTTCCCAGTGCTATGCAATTGCAATTATAGTGGGTGTCCAGGAGAAGCCATCTTGTAAAACTCACTTCTTGAGTTTCTGGCCGTTGTAACTATGGGAAAGACCGTTTAAGTTAAGTGAGAAACACGAGGTTCAGCTTTTGTTGGCCTATCCACTTAGTCAGTGATAAAGCCTGGAGGTAGGAGACTGGGTTACTACGACTCGTGGCAATGGGATGGGTCACGGCGTTGTTTATTCACTTGTTTTGGATGCGCGGGCGCAGACTAGCGTTACCTGACAACTGCATTGGCATAAAACCCGTGCTGAGTCGGAGTCGACCACAGCGCTGAGTGAGTCGAGTGAATTAGACACGTGGTCCTTGGCTTTGGGGCAGTGCTTGCTCCAAATTATTTGATACTGTGGATGGTTGCGAAATCTATTTCGCACCACCTGGGAAACCGTGGTTGAAACCACGTCGTTTTCGGTATTTATAGCGGAATCATCATTCCAGGGTTTGTCCTCGGTGTTGCAACATGTGGTCCATCCACAGTATTTTAGGGTAGACGCAATGTGTGTGTGTGTGTGTGTGTGTGTGTGTGTGTGTGTGTGTCTGTGTCTGTGTCTGTGTCTGTGTCTGTGTCTGTGTCTGTGTCTGTGTCTGTGTCTGTGTCTGTGTCTGTGTCTGTGTCTGTGTCTGTGTCTGTGTCTGTGTGTCTGTGTCTGTGTCTGTGTCTGTGTCTGTGTCTGTGTCTGTGTCTGTGTCTGTGTCTGTGTCTGTGTCTGTGTCTGTGTCTGTGTCTGTGTCTGTGTCTGTGTCTGTGTCTGTGTCTGTGTCTGTGTCTGTGTCTGTGTCTGTGTCTGTGTCTGTGTCTGTGTCTGTGTCTGTGTCTGTGTCTGTGTGTTGTGTGTGTTGTGTGTTGTGTGTTGTGTGTGGTGTGTGGTGTGTGGTGTGTGGTGTGTTGTTTTGTGTGTGTGTGTGTGTTGTGTGTTGTGTGTGGTGTGTGGTGTGTGGTGTGTGGTGTGTTGTTTTGTGTGTGTGTGTGTGTTGTGTGTTGTGTGTCTGTGTGTCTGTGTGTCTGTGTGTCTGTACGTCTGCGTGAGACACCCAGATTTGGGCCAGTTGGGGTGCTTCCATTTGTCCTCACCTGCAAACCGGAGCTGCAAACCCGAGCTAGGTTTGCGGGCACCCAAAGAACTGGAATGGGGCGCTTCAGGAAACCACAATATGTTGATTTTGAATCTTCAAAAGGCCATGACCTTGTGTTCTCTCTTAATTCGGAACCTACCCCTGTGCTTCCAGTACCACCATAGTAGGTAACCAGGCTTTCTGACCTGGTTTTACCAGATGGTGTCCTTTGGTTACCTACATTTACCTACTATGGTACCTGGAGGCACTGGGTGCCGGTTCCTGTGACACTCGGCGAATTCGTCGGGCGGCCGTTGTCGCGGGACTGCAAGCGCTGCTTTCAGCGCCTGTCAAAGGCGGTCAAAGGCCATCCGACGGCTGCCTACACGCGGCGTAGCAGGCATCCGCAAAAAGTGCCGTTCTCAACACGCAGTGGTATCATTTGCTCCTTTGTTTGGAGGGGGTGTCCCTTGGAACTCAAACTGTCAGAAAGAGCGAGCCCTTTTCCTGATCCCACTGAGTGTTTGGGATGCTTTCAATTTCCCTTCTGGCGTATAGTAGGTTGTCAGGGGTAACCATCATGTGACGCATAGACATAAGAAACCCTGTTTGTCTATTGTGGTGGCAACTGGAAGCACTGGGGATGGTTGTTTTGGGACTGAGTATTTTGCTTCGACCACCTGCTCTGAGTGAAAATGGTGTTCTCCTGAACTTATGAAACAGGGTCCCTTAAAGGATCCGCTGGGACTTGTTCAAAAAAGCACAACTTACCAACTGATTTGGAGGATCCCCTTGTAAAGCAAGTGGTTTCTGGTGGTCTCCTTTAAGCAGTCCTGCGAAACCACTGAGATTCATATGTCCGGGACGCTGCAAACAATGTGCGTTACTTGTTTTGGAGAGCCTAGAAGTTTACCCAGATGTTTGTAGTGGCCCAAACCACAAGCGCTCAACCCTCCAAAAAGGTGGCCAAAACCACAAACACTCCCCGCAATAAACACCTGAGAAACAAATCAAGAGTGGGTCATACGCGGAATCCCCCAAAAGCTTGTAGAAGGAGGGGCAACCCAGCGGCTGACGGCGCGGAGGACGTTTGGATCCAATGAGACTTCCACAGGTTTTCGGCGCTGCTGTGGGACAGAATCTCCCAAGCCAACATGCGAAAGATGCACCTGTTCTTTGAAAAGATGCACTGGGCTGCAGGTTTTTTTCTAGACAAAATGGGTGGATTTTTCTTCCGAAGCCCGGTCAGCTTCCATGATGGGAGAAGGAATGGTTGGGGTTGGGGAGTCTGCGGGTCCCGAAAAAGCCCAGCAACCAACGGAGCCACCCTACAACCGATTTGAACTGCTCGGTTACCTACTGTAAAGGGCCAAGCGACCAGCACTCGGCCCAAAAAGAACTGATGCCTTGAATTATCCTCGGAGTATGCAGCGACGTCGCTGCCTTTCAAACTATCCGTTTGAAGCAAGCAGCCAAAGACCTAAGCGTGCGGGGCTGGAAATTGGAGCTTCATTGCCACAAGCCACTAGGGTGGGGCCACCCATTGGTTTAGACATGTTTAAACCACTGGTTATGATGATTCTTCCCGAAAGGTGGTGTTTAAACCATATTTTGCCCCACCTCTTCCCTAAAGGTGATGTTTTTTTCCCCTGTGTTGCCCCACCCAGCCGCAAACCATGCGCCATACGCCCGCACTTCGCCCTTTGGTCCAGGATCTCACCCCGCGCGGGACCTTCGGGACCTGGCCACGCGGAAATCACTGGCACCTGGGCACACCAAACGGATTGATCTCGAGGGATGCCATGATAAGTGTCCCCTCTCTGGGGAGCCATGCTGGTTTGGCGAAGTGTAAGTCGTTGATTCATGTATCACACCATGTGTTTATTAGTATTATCAGTGTTACATTATTATTATTATTGTTATTCTTTTATGTTAGAAAAACAAACATCAACTTTCTTGGCAAGGACTAGAGTCACTAGAGCCACCAGGCCAGCTTCAGCTTTTGACCATACCAGACACCAACCCCACCCCGCGCATCCGCCTGTCTTAGCCATGGCGGCGCCGCCCCGCGGCTCAGGCAGAACCTTCTTGGGGCAGCTCGTGTTTTTTTTCTTCTTTTTGTTTCTCCTTTTTTTCGCCGAGCTCCTGTTGGGTGAAGGGGAAATCATGAGGAACACCGAAATCCATGTTGCGCATGTTGGGGGGGGTCCGATTCCCAAAAAGAAGACACAGCCAAATCTTCAACGTCAACGTGGACATTGATCGATTGTTTTTTTTGCCAGACCCCCAACTTAGCACCCAGATAGGTCTGCAGATTCACATGGAAACAGAGAATGCGATCATGCGTGGAGGCATTTCTTTTCGGAGCCCAAAAGTGGGGGCTTATGCTTGCTGCTTGTGGGGTGATTGCACGCCAAACCCCCCTACCAAGTCCTTCGCCAGAAGTTTGGCCTTTGGCCTTGTGTGGCCGCCGAATAAGGCTGGAGAGGTTTGTCTTCTTCTTGTTTTGGGGGGGTGGTTTGGTTCCTCTCACATAAAATTGCAATGCCCTTTGAAAGCAGATAAACCAGGAACCATCATGGTCCTTGTTGGGGTGGTTGGATAAGCAGGAATCCAGAAACCTATTTTCACGCTGGGTGGCTGTGGTTGGTTTCAGCTAAACATCGAGCAAGTGACGCGAGCAGAGTTCACGACAATTTGCCGGGGCTTCCAGGCAAGTCATTGTCGTAGGTGAAGGGGACACCATGCAAAAGCCCGAAGTACGAAATCCGGGTTGCCTATAGTTGTACCTGGAAGCACCCGGGGGGCGGGGGGGGTATTGAAAGCACCCAATCCAAACCACCCACTCTGAGGGCTCAGGCATTCAGCTGGTTCCTCTATTTGCTCCACATTTAGATATGGGTCAAGATATAACCACCAGGGGACAGGAGGTTTTTGTCCTTGTTTCCATTTACCAGGGTTCCATTTTGGATTCCTATTTTTGACCCACACACATTTAATATCGACCGGGAATATGTCATCAACCTGATGGATGACCAAGGGGCCTTCTGGATGATCAAGGGGCCTTTCTCCCAAAAGTGAAGGATCCTCACTGGAGATCTGTGTGGGTGGCTTTAAACTAGCCTCTCGTTTTTGTTTTTTTTGCCGCAGTAGCAGTGACGCAAACCACACCCCAAATTGGCCCTGGGGCGCTTCGTCACCCCATGCCACCGACAGGAGCAGCGAAGAACGGCGACAGCGACTGGGTCAGCGCTTCCGCGGATGTCTCCATGCAGAACGAGAAGCTCTACAACCGCGACTCAGTCGAGGGGCGGCGAGGGCGCAACATGCGGTCGCCAGCCTTCCATGGTCAATTAGGACGACCGCCCCATGTACCAAGTGGTTAATGTCCCAGGACTAGCCTGCGCATTACTAAAATATCCTAAGTGGGACTTAGCCTTTGCATTATCAACGGAGGATATCAACCACTTACTAAGTGGGTCAGGCATCCAAGAAGGAGGTTTATCAGAACCCCCCCCCATCTAGCTGCATGGGGTTCTCTTCGTCAGGATGACTCCGAACCTCAAAATGACCAAACCACAAGGGCGGACGCATGAGATGGGACCCTTTCTTGTTGTTTCATGTTGTTTCCCTTTGCGGAAGGATTAAACATAGCCGTTTTGCAGCGATCCAAACGGTTTTTTTTGGGGGGGTTTGTGTTCCGTGCTTTTCTCTAGACATGGGAGCACGGGTGTCCCGTTTCCTGAAAATCCCAGGCAAAAGGGTACCATGGATTGGGATTTCTGATGTCCCCTAGTGGGTGATGAGCTTAGTCCGGCTCGGCACGAGTGTTTTTTCTCTTATCCATGTTCACGTCCCAACCATGGAGGAGGTTTGTACTACCGCCCTCGTCGTAAATCGAGGTAGATTCTGTTTCCAACTTGATTTAGCAGAGACGTTTGGACCCTATCCCCGAATCCCCGAGAGAGGCGCTAAGACCTAAGAGCCTTTGCTACCGGCTAGGTGGCCCTGTTGTTCCCCGACTCACTTCTATTTCGTCGGCAACCGCATCTTTGAGCAACTGACACGATCGATTCTTCATTTGTTGGTTTGGGGAGGACAAAGGGGGCCCACCAAAATTTCCAAGCAAAGACCAGAGGGACCGGTTGCCCCAATTATTCATGGTTTGTTGGGAAGCATTCTTACTTTTGTGCGGGGCACAAATTCTCAGAATAGGAACCCTCAAAATGGGTGGTTTCCTTGCATTACCCTGAAAAATCCCCAAAAAGGGTACCCCCCACCCCCCCCCCCCAAAAAAAAAAGACACGCCCATATATACGGATTAGACACTTGGCTTCCTTTGGTTTCCTTTTCAGGGTTGCCATTCTTGACATGGGGGTTCGGAGAAGCCCTGAATTTATTATCCGCGTTGTCCCGGGTGAAATCATGTGAATGAGGCTGCGAGGTCGTTAAAACCAAAAGTCGTGAGACAACATCTTCAGTTCTTCAACCCGGGAGGGCCCCAGAAAAGCTGCGAGAGAGCCCTTGATTTGTCCAAACAGTCCGATTGGGTGTTTCGTTTCGCCTCGGCACCCCTTTTTGAATGGTTCTTACAGGGAAGCCAAAGGCAAAACCGAGGTCCAGTTTGCGGGGTCCAACCTAACAGCTCGGACCTTTTGAATGTGCTGTGGGAAAGGCCGTTTCTACGAACTTACGGAGGTGTTTTGTGCTTGGCTTTTCAGCTTTCAACCAAGGCATGTGCTTCAGATCCAAGAAACAGCTTTTAGAAGAGGGACATCTTTTCAATGTTCAACGTTCTTTTTTTTGGAATTCGAGGGCCCAACTTTGGTTTATACTTGCATCCGTTTCTCTGTTTCTAATTAAGCGCCCCAAACCTGAGTCAAAAATGCCGAGGCCAGCGTATGGACACCTTCCACACCCCCAGCAAGCTGGTGCGCGGAGCAGCTCGGCAGCAGCAGCTTTCTCCAGTTGGCGGGCGGTCAATCCAGCCCAAGGGTAGGTTGCCTGGGGCAACTGTAGCTGGCTCAAAAACTACCTGGAGTCTCCTTCTTGAAAATGGGTCCACGACCCCATTTTTAAAGGGTCATGGAGACTCCAGGTACCCATAAAAACTGGAATTTACCGGGACATGTTGGGGCAATAAACCCATTTGGAACTTGCTATTGTGAGGGTGCAGGTAACGTAGTGAGTTTTGTTGAGGTGTCCTGTTTGTTTCTGTTTCGCCAAAAATGTTGAAAGTAAACCAAACGTGCTCAGCCGCACCGCACAACCATAGATCAGGAAGGCATCGGTACGGCCACACGTTTGGGTACGCAAAAACATGTTTTTCAGATTCTGCAGAACATGTTTAGTCCACCCCGAAATGCATGAATTTGAAGGAGACACGCAGGTACGGTGCATAGATGGACTAAGTATTGCATCCCACGTTGCCGTCCTTTCGCAAAACGGAACCTGGCGGCAGATCAGTTTCGTCCAGGATCTAAATGGGGCCTTCTGGGTTCCAGCTTGGAGGGCCCTGATATGTTGACCCAAGATCTTGTTTCAGCCCCTCGATGCTCGGGTGTGGATACCCCCCCCCATTTATCAGCTGGATTCATAACCGCTGTTCCCCCCCATATATATATACACATATATACGATATATATATATATCAACTGGGGCAACTGGGGGTTGATGAATCCCGGGGTTCCCATTTCTTAAGCCCAGGCCCGAAGCCTGGGTTAGGGTTCATTGATCCCAAAGCAAGGCGGTCCAGTTGATGTGAAAGAAATGGGGTGTCAGACTGATACTGACGGAGATTGTCACTTGTAGCAGGAGGGGCCGAGTATCCACATGTTTCGGGCCTGAAGCAATCTCCTTGGACCTCCATTATTTTTGTAATTTGATGAATTGATTTGGGGAAGTCCCGGCACATCAAACATCAAAACAAGCAAGATGTTTGTTGGATGTTGAGAGAAACCGTTGTATTTCAGGTTTGCCTGGCTCAAGAAGCGCTGTTACAGTAGCCTTAAAAGCGGGTCCGCAGAGCTTCCGAAAAGCGCGGGGAGTTCCACACTAGATCAGCGACACCACCTCGAAGACCCAAGCATTGGGGACAGGCCAAGTGGTTCTGTCACCCTTGGATAGTTAACGAAAACCAAAAGGAAACCAACCACATGGAGAGGTACCTAATTTCGAGAAACGCCCAAATAAAGCTCAACCTGTGTCGCAACCAATTTCGTCTATCCTCCAGCCATTGTGAAAGATTGTGGCGCTTTAGGGCCAATCTCTGTGATGCCAAGGAACTCCCTTTAATTAGTTGATAAAGTAGTCATGAGAATCATTGATCTACTCTTGCACACCAGATTTCGGGTAAGTTTCCACCACCATGTACCCCACAACCACCCGCCTCAAACAGATTCCCCAACCGTATGACCTGATTTTGCCTTCCTCCCCTGAGTAACATGGAACTCCAAAAGCCATCTTGGAGGAAACTCCTTTTGGGGTCCCCCCTTTTGTTGGCTTCCATGTTAATTTGCAGGGAAGTAGACCCCCATTAAAACAGAACCTGCCTAAAACTGATTCTTGGACGACCATTCTCCTTTTCGGGCGCACAGTTCCTTTGCAAACGCCCATGGGAGAGGCGTCTCACCTCCCAAGCCTTCGGTGGAATCGCACCGAGGGCTCTCCGGAGCAGCGGTCCCCTACCCCCACCGAGCGCCCAACCTCCACCCCTCTCAGCTTCGACGGCAGGGACCGGGGGTCCCGAAACGAGCCGATGTTGCGATGTGGGCATGGGTTAAAAGTAAACCACCAGGAAACCGCAGGTTTTGGTCTTTGGTTCCATTTTGCCAGGGTTCCCAAAACGGGTACCTATTTTTGACCCACAGCCATGCGTTTTTTTTTGTCGGAAAGCTAAGGCCGGCAAAGCCCGAAGGCAACCCCCAAAGGACTCCCCAACCCTCGCCTTGGTCTTCCAAGGGCCCGCAAAAAAACAGGGTCCTTCTGGATTTTGCTCTTGGTTGAAAAAGGAAGATCAGCCAACAGGCCTTCTTTTTCAGGGTCCTGGAAGATCAAGGTTGGTGTACCCTCCCGACTCACATGGAACCTGTCGTTTGGAGGGAGTCCTGGTTTGGACCATTTTCCTTTCAAAGGAACCCCCAAACGCTAGGAATTGGTAGGGGATGTGTCGTCCAGTTCTTCAGTGGCACCCTCAACAAAATCCCCTTTTTCCTCTTAAAAAATGGTGGCTTCACCGTTTTCAACCCCCAAACAGGGTTTGCTTTTTCTGCCAGGGTCTTTGGGCAGCACGGAAGCCAGTCGACGAGGGCCGAATGAGGCCTTGACCTTAGCGGTTGGCCTTAGATCAGCAAGCCACCTGTCGCCAAGCTTTTCCGGAGGTCCCTTGAATGCATGAGTTGCCCTCCATTCTAAGTTGGTAAGTTGATCTCGTGTTTACCCCCACAAATGGGTTTGTGTGTGTGTGTGTGCGCGCGTGTTTGTGTCTTTGACCCCCCTTTTTCGTGGTCTTGAAGGAACGCCAAAAGGAAAAACTACGTTTTCCGGGGTTCCCCTCCCAAAAAAGCACATACACACAGGCACACACACACACACACCACAGGTCTCTCAATCAGGGAGCAAGCGACCCCCCCAGGGCATGAGACCCTTTCCAGGCCCTTTCAGTGCCTGATGCCTTCTCAAACACTCTGTCGACCCTAGGGTAGACGAAGCTTGGTGGTTCTCAGCCATCCCTTAGGCTTTTTTAAGGTTTAGTGTTGTTTTTCACTTTGACCCACTAAACGTTGAACTTGTAGCAGGGGATCTTAGGCCAGCCCAGCAAATCAGCCACAGATTCCACCACATGCTGTTTTGGGAGTACTCCTGTTGCGGGCCCCTTGTCGGTTTGTCATTTGGCAGTGGGACAAAAACAGGCATCCAAAATGCCTTGCCCTGGCAAATGGAACCAGAGACCAAAACCTGCGGTCCAATTCCTGGTGATGTAATTTTGACCCATACCCATCTGTGACCCTACCCTTGTCCCTCCTAAATGGAGCGAGTGATTCGCAGGACGAACGCCAATACGGGCATCGCCTGGTGGACCTCGTGAACAACTGGAACGAGGACGGACCTGGGCTTCTGGGTCCGTTCCTGGAGTCTCCGTGACCCTTTCAAAATGGGTCCATGACCCCTTGATTTTGGGCAACAACCTCATTTTTGAAGGGTGGAGACTCCGGGTGGGTCCATTCAAGTGGGTGAAAGCTCCTGTGCTCAATGATTTGACTCGCCTTTCCCTGTTTGGACTCCTTCCCCCCACCTCCTTCCCCTGATTTCTCCCCAAGGCCTCCACATCCCAAAGGGCCCCAACCAAGCGTTTAGGACTACTTGGTTCCCTCACTTTCAAGATGGGTATGGGTCAAAGTTAAACCACCAGGAATTGGACCGCAGGTTTTGGTCCGTGTTTTCCATTTACCAGGGTTCCATTTTGGGTACATATTTTTGACCCACAGCCAGATATGTCTGTACTTGTACACATGACGAGCTCACCTTGGCATTTCGCGCGCGAAGCCCCTTGATGAGCGTCTCTTACTTCGCTGCTCCTCATTAATGGCAATGATCAACCAGTTTGCCCAGATGTATTTCATTCGTGCCGTTGAGACCCTTTGTGGCACCTCTTATGAATGTGCGAAGTTCGTTTGAACTGCCACACCCTGTCTCGACATAAATCAGTTCAAGGCGACTCTCTGGATGCCCGAAATCCTTGATCCAGAAACACCCCAATTGGTCAAGAACCCACAGCTGTTGGCGAAAATGGTCGTTTCCTGACCAAGCAGCACTTCAAACAATTGTGTGGGGCGGGTTGTGGGGCAAGTCACAAAGATTTGGTTTGCGAAGGTTAGTTCCTTTTAAACCAGCTCAGATGAATTGTACGTCCACGATGAAGGCTTCTCTCAGAAACGAAGAAGCCAGTGTGAATTTGATGAACCTCGGACTCGACTTAACAAAGAAGGCTACACACGCACACAACATGGCGTAGAAAAGCGGAACTACTTTTCTCCACCTTGGTGCCCGTCCCCGACAAACAGTGGATGAGCATGTGGATTAACCACTAAGACGGGCTTCCAAACTCTGGTGAACGCTCCGAGGTTTCTCTTGGGGGCAAAGGCTTTCCAGGGTATGAACTTGACTTGGGAACCCTGTGAACATCACTCAGGGGGATTCATCACCAACCATTTGTGGCTTGGTTCCACCTCCCAAGATCCATAGCCAGACTCCTACCTTACTTGGACGTTCAACCAACTTAGTATAAGTAGGTTGTACCCATGGTTATAAGCCAACCAACCCTGTGTTTCCCCCTTCTTTTCCACCATGGTCGCAACCTAAGTTGGTTGAACACTCCAAGTAGATCACGCATCTGAGGGGCCAAACCGCCCGACCTGTGGGCCATCCGACGGAGCCATCGAGGACACCCGGCGAATGCTGCGCGAGGAGCTGGCCACCAGCCTGGAGCCGAAGCCTTCGCCTGAGATTGCGGAGGGCTGCGAAGTCGATTTCGCACCAGGTTGAAACCATGGCTAGGTCCCCCAGTAGTGCCCTTTTACCCTTTTTGTTGGGGGAGGGTTCCCCTACAATTGACTACAGAAAAAAGGTAGCTTTATTCTAACCTCTCTACTGGAGGAGCTAGATGGGAAATGTTGGTATATATGGGGGAATCAAAACATCCCGGGGTTTCTGAACGGTGGTGCGAAATGGATTTCGTCCACAACATGGTTTTCCTTATGGGATCCATGAACTTCCATTTGCTGAAATGAATGGCATTTTCCCTGTTAAACAATATCTTCCTTAAGAGTATTTAATATGAGTTTTCCCGGTTGATTGTAAAGGGAATCAATGTCACTACTGGATATATTTGTATTGTGTCTCGTGGATTTAAGCAAGTGGAAGCTAATCTTCCAACCACGGCCCACCGTTTTAAGAAACTCCCATATGGATATATGGATGTGTGTCAGAAATAGGGACACTGGCTCTCAGGCCAGTGGTTTCTCCTCAGAGCGCCGACAGCGGCGGAACGTCGGACCTTGACGCGAAACAGATGCTGCAGCAGGTCCTCGCAGAGCTTCGGCACGCACACGGGTCTGGAAGTCATATGACTGTGGGTCAAAGCCAATGGTACCATTCTGGGGTAGGTGCACCACCCATTTTAGTCTATTTCAGGCGGGATTGGGATGTTCATTGGGGTGCGGAATTTTGACCCATGGCCATATGTGTGGTCAGTTGACCTGGTTGCTTGAAGTGTCATCAGCCATTTTGGGTGTTTGTGCAACCCATGGATTTCTATTAGATGACCATGACCCGCATGAGGAGTTTTGAACCCTGATGGCAACTATGATTGAGAGCCGTAGAATGCAGCCATTGCAAACAAGCAACTCACACCCCGAGTTCCTGGACTTTGTACTGCACTTTTTGAGGTGATAGTGTTTCATTGAGTTTTGGCAAACAACCGGCTTAGACTTTCAGCGAGCTACACACAATCCCGCAAAGACACCCCAACCTTGTTCCGCTTCAGCGTTGGCCGCAAGTTTGGGCTTCGGTGGCTAGTAGAGCCTTGGATGTGTCCAGTTGACAATGTCCATTCTGAGATTCCAAGATCCCAAGGCAAATGGGGGTTTTAGGGCAGAAGGTAACAGAAAGGGCCAACACGTGAACATGATACCCCGATAATCATGGGAAATGCGGTTTCACAGTGCCCCGCAACCCCATTCCAATCATGTTTTGGGGCCCTTAAGCAGTACACTTCCAGATTTGCATTTTCTGCAGACAAAAGCAGCTTCGTCGGACCTGTCAGCTGTGCGTGTTGGGAGGTGGCATTGATGAATTCAATGCAACTTGGGGGGGGGGGTTCCCTGGATGGCCGTCCCACTCAGTGGTCAGTTTTCTCACTTTTTCCCAGTTCATGAGTCCCTGTTCAGTGGGATTTGCCCTAGGTGGAGCCCTTTTAGGGGACGTATGAACTTGGGATATCAAGCACCTGCTCGCTGCGGTGATCATGCAAACAGGCAGCTTGGGTATGGTGACAAAAGATGGGGTTGGACCAAACAAGGCGTCAACCTTCCTTTGGCTTCCTCCTTCATGAAGCCAAAAGCACAGGATAGCTCCACCTGCAGTCTCCATGACCTTCAAACATGGGGTCATTGCCCAAAATAAAGGGGTCATGGCGGTCATGGACCCATTCTTAAAGGGTCATGGAGACTCGCAGATTCGATCGGCTGAGGAGGTGAGGAGCTTGCAGCCACCGGGCTGCGATCACTGCGGCGCCCTGGGACGGGTGGCCATTGCGCAGGAGGACGTTTCTCCGGGCGGTGCGGGGTTTCTGGGTAGCGGAAGCATCAGGTTGCATGGATCCAGTTCCTCTTTGACACTGTGGATGATTGCGACATCGAATACCGGCAGTCTCCGTCCATGACCCCCTTTCTTGTGGGTAGTGACCATGGAGACTCCAGGTATTGACAAGAAAGCGTGCCCAGGTTCCCCGGCAGCTTTCCCTGGAGCTCTTTTGCTCCAAACAGCCTGCAATCCGGTCAGAGACCCCAAAGCTTAGCAGGACCTCTCAGAGATAGTGCGGGGCCACCTGCTGATGGAGCGAGCCTCCAGTCGCACCTCGACTCGAGGCTGAGAAGTCCCACTGTAGCCATGAAGGGCTCGATTTTGCCGGGTGACGTCTCCATTTGTTGATTTCCCTTTTCACGCAAGTACACAGGACGGATTTGGCCAAGAACGTGTCTTCCTTTGTCCACCACCCAGTCAAGTCTATTTTAGTGGGGATTGGGATGTTCACTGGGGGTACGGGCTTTTGACCCATGGCCATTCAGGCCCTAGGCCTTCCCAAGACACCAAAGCTAAGGCAACTCCAACTCCCCATCAGAGACGGAGGCGCGGTCTCTCGCTCGTTGACTTCTAGGCCGTAAAGGTGAGTTGGCGATTTGCAGATTTGGGCTTGGCTCCAAATTGGGAACCCCCAAAGTGCCTGGAGCCTCCATGACCCTTTAAAAATGGGTCCATGACCCCTTTGTGGGTAATGACCCCATGTTTAAAGGGTCACGGAGACTCCAGGTTGTTTTCTCTTTGGTTCCCCAAGAAAGCATATCGCTACTCAAACCTGGTATGGCTGGCTGCAATTGTGTCAAGCGAGTTGTGAGCTTTTGAATCTTCAACTACCTGGGCCAACAAACAAGTATCCGACTTGTTGGGAAGACTACAAAGGCAGGGCACACAACTTGAACTTTCTGTTTTGAGGGGTTTGGTGGCGTAAGAACTTGGATGTTCCTCAAGCAGCCTGCTTGTAAGTGGCTAAGGTTGTTGCTGGTCGAACACCCTCAAACTTGGTTGGTGGACATGTTAATGTGAATGATGTGCAGCAAAGAGTTCCCAACACAAAAACTTACCCAAGCGACCCCGGGCACAAATCTGAGTTTCACTCCGAACTCCCAGGGGAGGGCGGCTCGGCTCGACTCAATTTTCCGTGAAGCGAGTGGTAAGTATGTGGCCACTGGGACCGGCTTACCCAGAATGTTGGCCTCTCGCGCGATAAGCTCCACTTGGGACGTCAAAAGGCCTATGCCAAGCACTTCGACTGAGCTCCAGCGTTTATATCAAGAGGTCGAGTTGGGGCGATGGACTGGAGATCCGCAAGACGTACCTCAGGCCCACCGATGGAAAATGGGATTGGTGCAGCGGTGGCCCCGGAGATATATCAAGTCCCATCTGCCCTGGGGGTGACTAGGAACTACTCCCCCAACCCATGTTTAAGGGCGATTTTCAGGTCTTGCTGACTTATTCATAACACCAGGGGCTGATGTTTTTTTTGCCTTTCCCATTGAGACTTATATGATGTCTCCCACCCTTAAAATCCAAGAGAGAAACTGGTTAATACCTACTATATATAGTCTCCCTGCCTGAGTTCAAGGACTTTAATCACTTTCGTCACTTTTTGTGGTGCGGCCATTTCAGTGGCACTGCCAAAGAACTTTGGTTACCCTCCCACCAATCAGCATGGAACCTGACGTTCGGGGTCCCTTCAAAGCTCGTCCCAACCAGGACCCCCTGGCCAAGGTCTTGCACCAGGGTTTCTCCTGGTTTTTTATACCGTAGTGGCAGCTGGAAGCACTCTGGGTTTCTTGTAAACTAAGAATGATCAGTTATCTGGTCATCTTTTTGGGTGTGCCTAGAGTCCCTTCAAAAATGGAGTCATTACCCAAAATACAGGGGTCATGGACCCATGTTTGAAGGGTCATGGAGACTCCAGGTAATACTTTAGTTCTAAGATCCTGCCCAGTCTTTTTTAGCACTGGGTCTAAATGGGAGTAATGATCAGGTATGAGGTGTGGTTGCCTTTCGGGGCAATGCAGTGGATCCACTGGGCTTGGGGAACCCCAACGGCAGGTGCTGCAGAAGCTGTTGACGGAGCTCACCGCGGCCTTTGGGGAGATGCAGCAGGCCCTCAAAGGGCCACTCGGCCGCGTGGGGAGCGAGCCGAGCGGGCGGAAGGTGGGTTATTCGGGGTGGAGTGGTGGAAGTCCAAGGAAGTTTTCTGAATTTCTTCTGGCTTTCCTTTGGGGAGGGTGGAAGGCCAATATATTTTTATATATACGCATTTGTTTTTTCTTTTTGGCGGGGTGGGGGTGGAAGTTCCAGCCCTGTTTTTTGTGGGTGCTTGTTTGTGTTGAGTTGCCGCTAAGAGTGCCTGTTCCTTCTTTTTCTTTTCGGAAGGACGCCCATTATTTGCTTGGTCCTGTCATTTTGAGACAAACCCATATGGGTCTATCTTTTTTGAGGGTACCTTTTTTGTCCGTAGCTGTCAAAGGGAAACCCAAAGGTAGGCTACCATTTTCATGGTCCCCCAATAAAAGAGCCAAATGGCGCGGTCATCCGAGTGTTCGGGTCAATCGACAGGGGCCAGAAAACGCACTAGGCTGCCATTCTCCATAGTGTGGTAGCTTACACATGTTCCTGTAAGGACTCTTTGGTTTGAAGAAGGATTTACATCCACCGGCCGTGCCAACTTAGCAGGATCCATACGGTTCCTTAGACTTTTTAGATGTTCCGGGTTTAGAGGCGTGTGTGACGTATGATGTGGAAAATCGGGGACGTTTTGGACAGAATTTGGCTGGGATATGCTGGTATGTATTTCCATTAACCGCTTGAGTTCTGTGGTTCCGACTCAATATCATAGCGACATCTGGGGGTTGATCAATATTCCTGGCCCCCACATGACCATGGGCAACCTTTCCCAAGTGGGAAATACCGTCTTAGTGGTTTTCCAACCAATGGTCATCCCATGTTCAACGGACTTTTTGATCAACCCCCCACATCCCCAAAGTGTTGGAGTTGCAAGGGATTCAAGGGCTCAACAAGCCATGCGAGGGATCCCTACAATATCCCTCTAGCCTGGGATACCAAGAGCCACATATATTTACAATCACCATGGCAGTTCTTGGACATGCGATTTCACATTCAGCCGAATTCGAATTCAGTTCCAAAGCCCCAGAGCTTGGATGATTCGTTGCTTAAGAGCACCTCTCGTCCTTTGCAGGTGGTTAGGCTCTGGATTCAGCAGAATGTGTCCCAAGCCTGGATAATGGTGACTGGCACGCTGGGGGCCCTGAATATTGCACTGGGAGGTTTTGCTGTTTGCCAGGGATTTTGTGGAGAGATGTGGTTGGTTCACTTGCAACATGTAGGGCATGGGTGTACGTGGGTTGCCCCCGAGGAGTGCTGCGCTGGTAGAGGAGGTGCGGCACAGAGAGGAAAGGAAGGAGCCGGAGAATCAGCAGCGCCCCGTCCCACGTTGAAAGCGAATCGACGTTTGGCATCTCTTTTCCCCACCTGGAGTCTCCATGACCCTTTAAAAATGGGTCCATGACTCCTTTATTTTGGGTAATAACTCATGTTTGAAGGGTCATGGACAGGCAGACGTTCGATCCAGGGTCAAACAGTTTCTTTTGACTGGTTTCCTACAGTGGGGCTCCCAGCTCCGAAAAGCGGCACCTATAAATCCCTTTGTGTTTGGCCAACTCCAGCGTGTTCTTATATTTTTTTCCAGCCAATATTGGGCGGCTAAGTGCCCTTTGCCCTTTTTGTCAATATTGCCGCCTTTTCAGCTACCCATGACCCGGTGATGAGCAAAGGACACTCTGTGAAGGGCACCCTTGTCAAAGACCAAAAGAGTTTCCTGGTTGGGTTCCGTTGGTTCAGCTGGGTGGTGGGAAACAGCGGGGCCCTGTTGGTTTGCCAAGTCTGAAGGCTCCCAACTGGGCGGGCCTTCGACAAGGAGCTTTTGAGAGTCCCCGGTAGAAGATATGACCATTTGGGCGTGTTTATAGTCTCAAGTGGTCTCCATGTGCACAGCCGGTCAAACAGAGGTGGGCTTCCCAAATGTTGGACACATGGTGGTTTCAATCCTTTTGCCGGGGTCCCCTAGCTTCCCTGATGCTTCCCTGATGCTTCCCTGCGTCTAGGCCCTTCCCGTGGCAAAGGGACAAATCGCAATTAGGGCTTGCCATCTTGGGGTTCTTGGTGGTCTAGACGGTCCCCGAAGCGCTTGTTTACGATTCGTGTTGGTGCCTTTGGGGCATTTTTGCGGGGTCCCCACTTTCCCTTTGGAGCCAATCTATTCACATCACCTCTTTGGAGCGGCGGTTCTTCGGTTTCTTGCAGCCATCCAAAAGGCGAACCACTATGAGAGCCTCAAATGGAGGTGCCGTATCCCTGTCCGCTTCTTTCGGCACTCTGAGGCATCCGGTCGGCAACTCCTTGAACCTGGACTTTCTGGCGCAGGACGTTGTGCCAGCGAATCGACGGGGGCTGACCTTTGGGTTTTCGCCTCATTCGGGCCACTTCGGCATCGCCCCAAAATGTGAACCGGTTATATGTTTCTTTTGGGGGGGGTCCCCAGAAGGTTAGGGGTTGGTTCAGACCAAACAATGGCCACATAAGGCCGTGCTATTGAATGGGATCTTGGGCGTGTCCCTGATACGAAGGCCCCCACAAGCCACATAGTCGAGTCGGCCTCACCGGGTGTGTTGAGCTGTTCAAGGGCTCCATGACTTTGACCACCAGCCAAGTATGGAACTTGTGTCCGCCGATAAACAAATCAAGCATGGTTGCTTCAATACCTACTTTAGGTCCCCCAGTAGTGCCCTTTTACCGGGTTCCCCTACTAAAATAGACTATAGAAAAAGGGGGTACCCTTATATTATTCTAACCTCTCTACTGGAGGACCTGGATACTATTCATAATTTCTGTTGTGAGAAGTATCTGGAGTCTCCATGACCCTTTGAAAATAGGGTCAGTACACAAAATACAGGGGTCATGGACCATTTTTGAAGGGTCGTGGAGACTCCAGGTAGTTGTGTTCATTCAGAACTGAGGGGCTTTTCTTTGTAACCTCCTGTTTGTGTTGATGCGCAGGCGACGGCTGAAGCGGGAGCTGCCTTGAAACCGGTTTGAGGTTGCCGGAAAGTTGGGTGAAAGATGGCGCCTTTTTGGTTTATCACCCCCGTTTGCTTGCCCGCAGAATTCAATTGTGCCATTTGCATTCACCGGGTGTAATTAAGTAACCCATGACTTGTGCGCTTACCCTTGAGGAAACTCAAACTGGGTCGACATCCGCTTGCTTTTTCAGACCAAGAAAACCAAAAACGGAAAAGAACGCTGGCATGTTGCCTAACATGGCGGCAGCTGGTGTCTTATGTGGCCCTAGTTGAAACCCTGCCCTGGCCGCTTAGTGCCAATGCTTGGCAGTGGATGATGGGAATTTGGATCAGCCACTAAAACGGTCTACTTGGCTGTCCAACCAGCTAGTAGGGCCAACTCTCCACTTAGGGGGACTGACAACTGGGTTTTCACCTACATTACCCACAACTTTCTAAGTTGGCCGCACACCCAAGCAGGTAACCATTGTCGTGGGGTAACTGGGGGATGGCCCCCAGAACCATGGTTCTAACCTACTTAAGCTCTGTTCAACCCAAGTAGCTTGTGGTTTTTGTCAGGGCCTAGCCCCGTGTTTTCCTGCAGGACTTGCGGCAGATCAAGGCACCTGGGCAGAAAAACCATGAAAAACCCAGCAGCTGGCCGCGCCGGGTTCTTTGGATTCGGCGAGGATGGGAGCGTTTTTGACTTCTCCAAAGAGGATGTGGAGCCTTCACAGGGCTTTTCTTGGAACAACCCAAAGACGGGTAGTTTGTTTGTTGGCCTCCTGCTAAACTAGACCAACCCCAAGTGTATTCAGCCTGAAAAGGCGCATCCATCAAGGTTCGCGCATTTTGGGTGTGTGCTGTTTGGGGGTACACTTCTAAAGGTTGATTTAAAGGGATGACGCAAGGCCACCCACCATTTCAAGGGTCCCCTTGAGGCATATCCATGCACCAGAACCAAACATGTTTGGTCGGCCAAAGAGGTAGGGGCCACTTTTCGTTCACATGGCTGATTGTTGAGCCGGTTTCGCCTTTATCAGGGCTGCTCCGACCCATTCCTCAAAGATCTTCGAGCCCCATTGTCACGCACTGATGCAGAACCGCTTGGCACGGGGAGCCGTTGCAGCGCAATGGAAACCAGTATAGGGACTGCGTCTGGGCCATGAAATACGGTTCAGGGCCCCTGGTGCCGGCTCTGAATCACTATCGGATAAAAGATGATCGCAGTCCGGGATCCATACGGAAGGAACCAGGGGTCTCCATGACCCTTGAAAATTGGGTCCATGACCCCTGTATTTATAATGACCCCATTTTGAAAGGGTCATGGAACTCCAGGAAGATTCAGCATTGGAAAGTGCCCGAATAGTTTGGCGTTCGGTTGCAGGTGAAGGGTTGAGAGCACAAAAAAAACCCAGTGGCACTTCCTGTAAGAGGTATACAATTGGGCTTCTCTTCATTGAAAAAAGGATCACAAAGTATTCAACTATGGGCTGGCAACTGGGATTGGACATACAGCAGATTTCATGGACACAGTGGATGCCCTTCATTTTGCAATTGCAAGTTTTAGGGTAGCGCGCCACTCCCAAAGGCTCGCAAGAGCTACTTGTCGGTTGTAAGGTGCACAGTTGGTCTTCGGGCTCCCGGTTGGTTTCCCTGAGAGTTCCAGCACCTTACAGCCACGTGCCTGCACATCTGCACATGCGTGGGTTTGTTGCTTGTGAGTTCCCTGTTGAGCAGGTGTCCAGGAGCTCAACAGCTTCACTCCCTGATTTTTTGGAAATTATACCTGTTGGGAAGACCACATTGGCAAAGAATACATTTCGTTGGCCAATCACTTCCTGAGCCGGAGGACGACATCCAAAACAAAACGCGCTCACAACTGAAGGCCCCTTAGAATGCCTGTCTGGGGAATTCCGTATTTCCGGTTTAGGATTTATATTATAGTTTGGATATATATATATATATATGTTTTGTTTGTACCCTTTCCAGGTTGATTTAAAGGGAAAAGAGGCTCCGAAAGACATTTTTGGGTCGCCCTGTTGTTGACATGACTAGGAAATTCAATGGGTAACCACCTCTGAAGTAGATCCCCGCTAAAATGATGTCCACCAAATGAAATTCACATCCACAGCCCCATTTGCCCAGATCCACTGCAAAATCAATTGCACCATTTGAAACAAGCTGCAAACCAAATGAGCCGAGGAATTGTTGGGCACCAGCAATGCCTCTGGCGCCTCCCTGGCGAAAGATATCCAGCAGCTGAAGGAGAGAAGCGGCGAGGGGAGAAATGTCAGAACCACACGCCATGGGCAAAATTCAAAAATCGCACCAGGTGGATGAAACACCTCGATGGGATAAAGAAGCCAGCAAAACTGGTGCAGGAGTTTGGCCACAGTAGCAAGGGGAGCCATTGCAGCCGAACGCCCGAGACTAGTGACTCCAACTTCCTGGGATATTTTTGCCCGCGGCTTGAGGAGAGCGTGACTTTAGTGCAGCAGAAGGCGGAGGAGGACGGAGCGGGGCGGCCGGCGTTCTCAGAATCTGAAACCGTAGGATGACCCCACTTGAACCCCGATCAAAGCGGTGGATGGAAGTTTTCAGGGCAGTCCCGGCCAGAAGTGAAAGGCGGATATCCGCCCTGGACAGATTCCTATTGTTTTGGGTAGACCACTCTGGCACCAGGTGTTGATTGTGACCCCACTTCGTGCTGGTTGTTTTTGTTTGTTGGGCTGAGTTGCTGGAAGAGCAGTAGGGGCGCTCTTTTCGAGAGGCCTTTGAATTGAGCACATGCCATGGTTTGGCTTGGCCATTGACTTCGTCAGGTATGTTGTAAATATCCTCTGAGAAGTCCTCCTTCCATGGGGTATATCTGAGGGAAGTCGCACCCCTCGGGATCTTAGCCACGTAGAAAATGGGGTTATCCAAGCAAAGTAGGAGGGTCTTGAGGGGAGCCAAGAAGGGCCCTATTGTCACTTAAAGCCAAACCCGATGGATTCACGTTCCTTGGCTTGATCTCCGGCGTTTCGCCGCTGTAGATAGCCAGCCTTGTTCAACCTCTACTTTTTGAACGAACCCTCCCAGGTCCATGGAATCACTGGGTTTGACATGGAATTCTTGGTTGCCAGCTTGGGTTTTTCCAAGATAGCCGCTACTGCTGTATGGAGGATTGAGGCCTCGGACAAAACATCCGGCTACTTGGGTTCCATGTTGCGCCTGGTTCATGATTTCCGGTTTGGCATTGGATTCGGATCGACGGCAGGACTCTCAGAGCCTTTTGAAGCATGTGGAGCGCTTGAGCGACATCGTTACCGCCAGCACCGCACAGCGCCACGGTTTGCAGTTGGACGCATGGGCCAGGCGTCAGAAAGATCCCTTTGCTCAGGGGTTGGTAGGGATGGTCATGGACCCCTGAGGGAATTCAGACAACCATGATAGATAAGTATTCCCATTGGCCAGCTTTGACCCTGGCACACATGAGACTCAGTCAACATGTGCGGAGGTCTAACGTTATTTTGACAGGCAGATAATTAGAGGGGACTCAATGAATTTCAAAAAAGGGACGCCTCTTGGGGTTATTCGTAATCTATCTTGCAACACATCAGATTGGAAGCAGGAAGCCCAGTAACTCAGTACTGTAATTCTACTAGGTAACCAAGGGAACCACCATGAATCACCTTTTCACAAGAATCCGGAAAATAGCGAAGGGTTACCCACTATAGTGGCTTGCCTTGGATGGGAGAGGTAAGAATTCCTGGTTGCCAGTCTAGTGATATTTGGAAGCACTGGGCGGCTCCAAAAGACCCTGTTAAAACTACGTACTTGCGCCGGGACTTGCATACCTTCCTGCAACCCGGTTTCTTTCTCCCAGCGACGGGAGATAAATGAAGAGCCAACAGCAATCAGGTTTGGGGACAGGTTCTCCCCCATACTGGGTCTATTTTGCAACCATCTTTTGCTTAGGGTTCGGGGGCCACAACGTCTCAGTGCTTCAGCAGCCCTTCCCCGCAGGTCAACCCCCAGCTGCTTCAGCCAGGGGTTCTGAAGCATGTCCCTTCTTGGAACCTGCTTTCAGTGGCCATCGTGGCAATCGTCCACCTGAAGTCCCTAGGCCTAGCACTGAATGCACACCTGCAAATTCATCAGCTCTTGAAGGGGATACAGTTAGACATGACCTCGCCTAACTTTGTTAAACTTCAACCCATGCGGGTACCCTTGGGTTTTTGCAACATTTGAGAGCAGCACCTCAAAACAGCACATTTCAACAATCAACATTTCAAAAGCGGCAATTTCCTGGTGAGTTTATCCAATATTTGTATATTCAAAATTTTCAAAAAATAGTTTACAATATTTTCAAATTGTATCTTACAACATTTTTAATTATGATATTTTGCAAAATGTTGAAACATCAAAGTTTACAACATGTTCAATTGCTATTTCTTTCCAACAAACAATGTCATATCCCATGTCGCATCAACACTTGTCATATCAACACAACATGTCGCATCAACACTTGTCAGCCTCTGGTGAATAGCGCAGGCAGACCCGTTCGGACGTTCCAAGGTAAAATATAATTTTCGGCTTTTGCGGGGCACCACCTTTGCACGACTGCTTTCCGCTTGGTTTTGATTGTGACTTCTCGAATGTTTTCTGCGTCAAGAATTTGACTTGACAAAGAGAGGTCTTATGTTGACTTTGCAGGCGGAGGAGGAGAAAGGAGCGCAGCTGAGGAAGGACTGCGCCCTGTTTCCTTCGGTTTGCTTTTTCCCGAGGCGTTGTCTCGCGGTGGCGCGCTTTCTAGCATTCTGGCGTGTCCCTGCCGCAAGGAGGAACAGCGTCTTTCCAAAGCTCACGCTGAGCTGGAGAAGCTGCGGCGCCGTGAGCGAAGCCGGCGTCCTAAGAGAATGAAGCCATTAGGTCAGATGAGAGTACATCACGTCACATTACATTTTATGACTGGTAAGTGGACGGTTGGATACCAGTATAGCCGGCAAGCCGGTGGGCGGGAGTCTCAAAAATATAGCAACTATAGGAACGGGTTGCTTCTTTCTTCTCTTCTCTCTTCTCTTTTCTCGTCTCGTCATCTCTTCTTCTCTTCTTTCTTCTTTTCTCTTGTCTTTCATTCTCTTCTTTTCTTTCTTTTCTCTCCTCTTCTCTTTTCTCTTTCTTTTTTCTTTTCTCGTTTCTCTTTTCTCATTTCTCTTTTCTCTTCTCTTTTGTCTGATTTCTCTTCTCTTTTGTCGGATCTCTCTTCTCTTTTTGTTCTCTCTTTTTTCTCTTCTCTTTTATTCTCTGTTCTTTTCTTCTCTCCTCTGTTCTCTTCTCTCATTGTTATTTTCTTCTCTCTTCATTATTCTTCCTGTGTTCTGTTTTCTTTTCTCTTTTCCCTTTTCTCTTCTCTTTTGTCGGGTCTCGCTTCTCTTTTTTGTTCTCTCTTTTCTTCCTTGTCTTTTATTTTTTATCTTCTCTTTTCTTCTCTGTTCTTTTCTTCTCTCCTCTGTTCTCTTCTCTTCTTTTTCTTTTCTTGTCTCTTCTTTTTTCTTTCTTTTCTCTTTCTCTTTTCTCTTCTCTTTTGTCGGATTTGTCTTCTCTTTTCTCTTCGCTCTTTTGTTTTATTTCTTTTCTTTTCTCCTCTCTTCTTTCTTTTCTCTTTGCTCTTCTCTCTTCTCTCTTCTCTTTTCTCTTCTCTTCTCTCTTTTTTCTGTTCTTCTGATCTCTCTTCTCGTCTCTTCCTTTCTGTTCTCTTCACTTCTCTTCTCTTTGCTTCTCTGCCCTATTCCCCTTTTTCTTCTCTTCTCTTCAAGGTGAGAAAGAGATAGCAACATTTTGCAAAAACATATCATATTGTGTTAGAACTATTATAGACAAGGTTTCCCGCATTCATTTGTTATTGTTCATTTTTGCGTAATATTTTTTGGGAAACATTACCTATGAAAAAGATGGGCGAGGTTATGTACACATAACTTTATAGTTTAAGTTCAGGATAACAATTTAACTGATGGTTGTTTAGTTGTTCATACCCCTTGCTTCTTTCATACATCATTTTAACAACATGTGTATTTAGAACTGTTTTTTAGCATTAAACTGTTCGCTTTCAATGCATAATTTCACGTTGTCTTTAACATCCTCTCCTTCTGAAACATGATACACTAACATCCATAATACGTGGTCAATCATTTGATACTTTTTATTACTGATTTTCACAAACTGTTTAAGATAATAATAAGAGGGGATTTTATAGACCGTTAGAAATATTATATCATGTTGTCATCTTCTACATTTCTTTGAACCAACCGCTCAATTTATAAATGATTTTCTATGATTTTTGCTCAGCCTCCACCTTTTACAATTTTTACATTCATCTTCTTTACCCAAAGCGTATTTAATAATACTATTAACTGTTTCATTTAGTAAATTTAATTTGTATAATTCCATATGTTCTTTGTTGAGGTGGCAACAATCATAGCATGTTCTAAGGGTATGATTATTTAATTCAGTGTCCATCATTTCACCTATTGATATATATATATAGGTATATATATGTAGGTACTATTTCTTTAAATACTGTTTACAAGGAATACTAAATTATGTAGCAATAGGCATATTTATCGCATTCCTTAAAAATCCTATAATATTCTAATGTTTGCTCGTTTGGACTTTTGATGTGTCCCTTATGTAACATCACGCTATTTGTCACGCTTGGTATCATAATCACCACTAGGCCTACCTATCCCCTTCTTTTCAAAATCCTATCCAGCGTCTCACTCTCTGGTCATTGCTATTCTTTGGCTTGCTTACTTAGCATCTAACCTTTGTTCAATGGTGAAAACCATGTCTGACAATACTTTAACATTCTTACTAATAATTATAAGCTTTGATTTCGAATCGTCAATGGTAACAATCTCACTTTCACACATTATATATTTTCTTATTTATTTATTTTTATTTGAATATTATATATATACTTTTCACCAAATATAAAACATGATATTTGAATATATTATAGTCTAATAAGTGTTTATTGATTAATTCCTCTTCACCTGTAATTCAGCAACTTTAACATTATGTCAAACTTGTCCGGAATCGTTACGCCTTTGATAAAGCATGTTCCTTTGTGTTTTGCTTCAATCCAATGAACAGTTCTTCACTTAACTGTTTAACAAAAATTGTATCACCATTAGAACAACAAACTTCTTCATCTCATTGTACTTTTCTTCTATCTTTACTATCTAATTATGGCATTCTAGTTTTCTAATTATACACTTATTTAGTGTTTTGTTTGCAAAATGGAATTAATGTGAAATATAATCTTTATATACTAGTTTATGTCCTTGCTCAAAACAGACATAAACAAAATGCTGAAACACATGGGAAAGAGGTGCGGGAAAATAATAAGACATATCGTGAGGAACACACAGAAGAAAATTCAGAGAATCAGTAAGAAACATTACAAGGAACATAAGGATGAAATATCAAAATACCAAGGAACATGCCATGAAATCAATGATACTCAAATCAAGAACATACTTTATCAAAAGGTTTCATGCTGTTGTGGGGCAATCACTAACAAGGGGCACAAAGCAAGACACTAAAAAAAACATGAAGCACCAGCAATCTATAAAACCATTAGAAGAAGGAGAGCGTGGCCCCGCCGACAAAGAAGTGGAAAGGCGGAGAGGCGAAACCATGCAGCTCTGCAATCTTGCGCCCCCGCAAACCCCAAGGAGGGGACGCTCGCCAACCCCAAACTGTCCAGCTTCTCCGCGCAGGCCGCCTGCGCCAAGCTCCCCACTCGCGCGCTGTGACGAAGCCTTTGTTTTGCTTTTCTTTTTTCGTCCGGACGGCGATCGTCCGCGAGGCGGCTACGCGTGGAGGTGCAGCCATGAAGGCTGTGCAGAAGAGCTCAACGCAGTCTGCGTCGCAGCCTCAATCAATTACAAAAGCAGAGGCAGAGAGAGAGAGAGAGAGAGAGACAGAGAGAGAGAGACGGAGAGAGAGAGAGAGAGAGACAAGAGAAGAGAAATAGAGAGAGAGAGAGAGAGAGAGAGAAAGAAGAAGTGAAAGAGAAATGGATCAAAGTCAGTTGCGGAGCGCCGCTCTGCGCCCGGCACTTGAATCTGGAGGGACAGGGCGCCGCCCTCGCGCTGCCACGAGCACGGCGCCGGGCGATGCCCCTGCCGCGACCGCCGCGGACTTGCGATGGCCCTCTTGCGAGGGTGAGGTGGACAGGGCCGCCTCCCAGCCTCGCGCCAAGCCCCTTCCAAAATTTATCCGGCCCCATTTGCCGCAAATGTGCTGAGAATGCAAGCTAGTTTTTTGGTCCGAAA